AAAAGATCATTTAAGGGTTGGGCTATTTCACTGTATGATTCTACCCACCCTCCCTTCCATTCTTGAGTCCATCATCTCAGTACTGTATGTGGCCACGCCGTCTCTTTAAGAGTTTTTTTTTTTGTTTGTTTTTTTTTCCGTTCTCATTTTTCGTTTTTAACCAGACAAATCATGCCGGTCATTTTCGGGGAATCCCAAAGGGCTGCAACGTAGAGTTCCTTTGGAGCGGTCTCCATCCGGATGCATGCTCAATAAATAGTCCCAGTGGTGATAGAGACAGAGAGTGTGAGTCAGCTGTGTTTACTTGGACTGTGGAGTGGTTAAGTCTCGCAGGAGGTCTGTGTGAGAGGAGGAGAACGTGGAGCAGGAACATCGGTCACTCCAGGTCCTCTGACAAGTTCCCTTCCTCCAGTTCCCGGTCCTCCTCCAGCTCCGGACTGTGATTGGCCGTCGTCACGAGCGACATCGGACAGTCGTCGTCGTCCATGTTCAGCGGCTCCTCCTTGACGTGAACGGACGGCCTGCGGGGGGGGGAGACAGAACTTTAGGCCTGGGTGTGTGTGCGGGCGGATGAATTTCTGCACTTGTTGGATTTTTTTAAATTAAAAAACTCACCACTTAAGTTTGTCATGTGAAAAACTTAAAGAAACTGGAAAACCCCTAGAGACACAAAGTAAAACGTGGTATTGCAAACGTTGATGACTACAGAGAGAAACACTTCAAACACAAACATCGTTTTTTTCTTGCTGCAGGTGTTAATTATAAAATATATAATTATTATTATTTAAGCCAAATAACAAATGATGAATTTAGGAACTGAGAACAAGTACAATTTTTGACAATTTTTGACCATGTGTTTGTCTTGAACTACGTGATGATGTTGCCACAGGTCAGATCTGGACTGCAGGCTGGACAGTGAACTGCAGGTGCTGGGTTCTGTCCTGATCTTTGACATGTATTTGTCCACAGATATATTTTCTTTTTTCCTTCAGTTTCTCTCTTTCTGGTCTACGACTTCTTCTAAGCTAGGCTAGGCTAAGCTAAGCTAAGCTAAGCCAAGGCAGCTGTGTTAATAGCCTCATTATCAAGTGATGCACATTCAGCAGTGGGTTCCACCTCACGTCTTTACACAAGTTTTGTCAGTAAAAAATTTTTTTGTCCTTTTCCCCATTAAATAAAGTTTAAAATTCTCATTTTTTTTATTGTATTTTCAGGAAGCATAGCAATTTTTTTTCTTTTTCCAGAAATGTGTTTTCGACGGCTACGCTGATAAATATTTAGTTGTATGTGAGAAGAAAAAAAAAAAAAAAACACACGACATGCATTATCTTGCCAACTTAACAAGCGTGTTGTTTGTGAGACGCTAATTTGACACGATGCCTCACGTCCACTGTAAGTAAGAGCATGAAAATTGCATGGAGAAACGCCGGCGCTCTCGGGCCGATAAGCTGTGATGTTCCAGACATGTTTGGCATTTAAAAGTTTACTGATGACACCAGGTTTAAATACATGAAAAAGGAGGGAGGGGGAGGGTATTCATATCTGACAAATCATGATTTGGAAAAAAACAGCACTACTTTTGCTTCCCCCTAAAAGCAAAGAAAGTGTAAAACCACTGAAAATAACCTGCATCCAGGCCATTTGACAAGTTATTAGTTACTGCCGCTAATTCATAAAACAAAACTGCTGAGCTGTGATTTTCGTCTTCCAGTTTTTCAACTTTGAAGACCCGATTAAAGGCTGGTTCATACTTCGCCAGAACCCAGAAATGTGTTGGTTATTTTGAGTGAGCATGAACAAGAGTTAGGTCTCCTCTTGTCAGCCCACATAAGCATTTTTGAAATTTATCATAAACAATTAAACAACAGCTTGATGGAGGACGAAAACAACATGTTTAATGCAGAGGAGTAGAAGGATTTGCTGTAATAATGAGTGCTGGTGGCATTTACGACCTTTTGATACGGCCAGCGTTAACTACGTCCACTTCAAGTTTGGACTAATCGTGCTGTAGTTGTCGTACATCAAAGGCAGCTACAGTAACTCCCACACCAGGGCTGCAGAGTTTTAAAAAAA